AGCCGGCCCCTGGCATCATCCACAAAGGTAATCAAATTAGACCACTCAGAAAAAGGTATTTAATGTGGTCATTCTGAAACAACTGTGATTTGTGTATGAAAAAGAGCAGTAACATCAAAAGACACTTTTTGCACAGAGAACTGTGTTGCCTCTGGTGGCACAACAACAAGAGAGTGGGAGCGTTTTTTTTTCTTTTCCTCACACTGGCCCCTAAAGCTTTAATGTACACAAAGGAGAATTTGTGTAATCACATCAAAAAGATTTGGGAGGAAATACAATCACAGCTTCCTTCTCCATGACAATTATAAGGCTTTTTTGTAAAACATGTGGCCGTGCATTTGATTTGTACTTGCTCTAATGGTAATGGTGGGGCTTTCTCTTGTTTGCAGGAGAGAGAGAGAGAGAGAGCGTGTTTTTTTTTTTTTTTTTTTTCACTGCAGATGGTCAAAGACATTTTGCTAAGTAATATATTATCCTAGATAAGCTCGCGCAGATCCTTTGGCGTTGATCTCTAACAGACGATCTATGAGAAGTTGGATTAAATCAATTGGTTGAGGGATTAATAGACATCACTCTTTTATTTAAATGAAATAAGAAAAGTCTACATAGGCCACCAGATTATGTTTGTTACAGTGTGGATATGGATATCTGAATCAGTTTTACACTTGTGTTCTTTTATTGAGCCTCTTTTTTTAAAGAAAAAATTAACCATTATAAAAAGTGCTGTCAAAAATGTATTAGAAAGCATGTTCAAGTCTTGGCGTAGCGGTCAGTGCATGTGGGAAAAGCATATTTGAATCCTGCTTGAGACACTTCCTGTATTCTTTCTTCTTTTCTCTCAGACAAAAGAAATTCCCTCAAAAATTTGCTAGTATGATTAAATATAAATTCTTCTGGCTTATACATTTGCAAAAGTAAATCCATGTTTTCTATTTTTTTTTTTAAATTAATAAAAAATAAAAATATTTACAAAAAGTATACTGTATATAATATTGGCATCATATATATATATATATATATATATATATAATATATATAAATATATTATCATCATCATTTATATATATATATATACAAACTGTACAATGTTTTTTCAGAAAAATCATCCAAGTCCTGCAAATTCTTTGTGTTTTCCCAGCATCTTTTGCATATTTGAACCCTTTCCAGCATTGACTGTATGATTTGAGGTCCATCTTTTCACACTGAGGACAACTGAGTGACTCAACTCTTATACGCAACTATTAAAAAAAGGAAACACGATGCGTTAAGAGCCCGGGGGTGAAAACTTTTGAGCAGGATAATAAATAATTTTTTTGGATCACACTTTATTTTTTTCATTTAGCACTACTTCCATTCAGAAGTAACAGAAGACACGTACATGTTTCCCGGATGACTAAATAAGTAAAATTGACCCTGATCATCAAATTCAAAAAGTTTTCACCCCCTGTCTCTTAAAGGGATAGTTCACTTTGGAATTAATTTTTGGTATGTTTTAGTTTACCTCAAGGGCACCTCGAAGGGATGTAGGTGTCTTTGTTTCCACAGTCGTTTCAATTTTGATGTTTTTAGGTCAAACCGTTCATGTCTATCAGTCATATAATGGAGGTCTATGGTCACCACCTCATAAAGCATGATTTAATGACTTGTGAACGATATACTGTTCGTTTTCTCACACAAACCGCTCTATCGTGTCTTAGGCCATCAATGTGTACTTACATTTACGAGTCATTAAATCATGTTTAATTTTGGACGTCTCTGTGCATGCTCTTTGAGGTGGTGACCATAGACCACCATTATATGACTGACAGACAAGAACGGTTTGACCTAAAAACATCAAAATTGAAATTACAGCGGAAACAAAGACACCTACATCACGGATGCCCTTGAGGTAAGCTAAAACATACCAAAAATTACCCTTTAATGCATCATGTTACCTTCTGGAGCATCACGGGAAGCTTTCACCTTTTATGTAAAATATCTTCAGACCAGCGCATGCATTTTGTATGATCCCTCTTATTTAACAGATTCTCCAAGGCATATGTAAACTTTTGACTACCTGTATATATTGGTAAAAACAAATAAGACTATAATAAGCACTCATTGTTATGTAATTGAAATGTAATTTTACTTTTATGCTCTAAATAATGAATTCCTAATCCTAATGCTGTATATTCTAGTGATAATTATAAACATGGCGTACAGTATTGGTAGCTTGGATCAAAGCTTTCAAGTTTTCTCTTAGAAGCAGAGATAAAAGTGAGAGAAACTCGCAGAAGTATGGCGTGAAACGCTTCACACACCTACACACCACAGGCCGTTCGTAGTCCCAGCACGCAGTGGGCAGAGAGCAGGTATACTGTACAAACTGAGCGAATGAATAAAACAGTGTTAGCCGATCTGTCATCTGCTGATGTCTGCATCGAAATGTCTTTATGCATGTTAAGTATCTCGATTGCCCTGTTTGTGCCAAGTCGCTTGCTTTTTTCGAAGAATACGGCTTGACGTCTTGCAGCGTTTCAGGGAAGTGTGGGAGAAAGATGTCACCTCACTTGTTTCTGAGGCTGGAGAGAATGTCATCAGATGGGAAAAACTCACATCGTGCGCAGGGATCAACTCTATAGGTGCGCTTTAGCTGGTTCGAGAGAGTGCCATGTTTGGTTTGTAATCTGAATTATCACGATTAGTTCCTGATAAGCTCTCCTTTGTTTGCTATCGCGGGGAGTAATTGGTGTGGCACATTTTTAAGCAGTTAACGAGTTGTGTAAAAAACTCTTCGCAATAACATGAATTCACACACCAGCAGCACATCTGTTGGTGATATAAGTTCAGATATTAAGATACGCCACAGCTTTAAATGCTTGTGACTTAAAACCACTGTGGGTGACATCTTGAAACCAGTTGTCACTAGGAAAAGGGGCCCTATGAAATCCATTTTAATTTTTCTGAATTCTGCTTTTTTTGGACTCGCAGGTTTTTTTGACAATTACATGTTTAGGGAATGTAAAATGTGTTTTATATTATTATTTTTCTCAAATTCTGTTTTTTTTTTACCAAAATATGTGTTTTCTGTTTTCATTTTTATGGTTTAGTTATTTTATTTAAACATTATGTATAAAGGTGTAAGAAATTTATCTCATAAAAACAACAATTTATTAAAACTTTTTGCAAAAATGAATTTTTTATTTTTTTTTAAATATATATTTTTTTTTAAAGTAGCCCATAGCAACTGTAGTATGTGCACTACTCTTCAAAAGTTTGGGCTGTAAGATTTTTTTAAGTCTTTTTAGTCTGCATTTATTTGATCAAAATACATTAAAACAGTAATATTGTGAAATATTATTACCATTTAAAATAACTGTTATCTATTTGAATATAGTTTAAAGTGTAATGTATTCCTGTGATCAAAGCTGAATTTTCATCAGTGTCACATGATCCTTCAGAAATCACTCTAATATGCTGATTTGCTGTTCAGTAAACATTTCTAATTGTTATCAATGTTGAAAACAGTTGTGCTGTGGAAACAGTGATACCTTTTTTCAAGATCCTAAGATGAATTGAAAGTTCAAAATAGCAGTATGGGAGTCTTTTGTAATTGTATTTGCTGT